GCGGCCTGTTGCTTCTCTCTACTTCTTCACATTCATCGTCTGATTCTTCAGATTCTTCTTTCTTCTTTTTTGGGGCTACTTTTCTTTTTTTGCTTGTTGTTGGCTGATGATATTCTAGTCTTAGAATTGGTTCTTCTGTGTTCACTATCCTAGCAGCTTCATTCTGATGTTCTGTTTCATGAGTTTCATTTTCAGAAGCTCCAGCACTTCTTGTATTCCTTATATTATACAAATATGGCATTAGAGCACATGAGTTACATAATGTCACACAAAATTTACATAACAGTGAAATGAAGTTACATCATTGACAATCAGATGAACAATGAAATGTGGAGCACATGAGTTATATAATGTCACACAAAATTTACATAACAGTAAAGTGAAGTTACATCATTTACAATCAGATGAACAATGAAATGTGGAGCACATGAGTTACACACTGTCACACAAAATTTACATAACAGTGAAGTGAAGTTACATCATTGGCAATAAGATGAACAATGAAATGTGGAACACATGAGTTACATACAGTCACACAAAATTTACATAACAGTGAAGTGAAGTTACATCATTGACAATAAGATAAACAATGAAATTTGGAGCACATGAGTTACATACTGTCACACACAATTTACATAACAGTGATGTGAAGTTACATCATTGACAATGAGATGAACAATGAAATGTGGACTTAGTTACAGTCACAGAACAAGGCAGAGGATTTAGGTATTATTATAAACAAGTTACATAATTTTAAGTAAAGTTAATCTGGTATTATTTTCAGTGAAACACAACACTATATTACAAAAAAAAATCAGTGACATACTAAGAGGCATAACAAACATATGGAGCCATGCAACACTATATTATATAAATCAAAGCACTTAGAATATTTAATCTGAATTTTGAAACATAAGCAGTTGCAGATTATGAAACGAACATTGCTTTATTCAATGTTACATGCATTTTGATATTTAAAGTAGAATAGCAATCACATTGTTTAATAGTTCAGTTTATGGTTATAATTGATACCTGACAACAGATTTGCTTCTAGACCTAACCATCTTCAATCTGTACACCGATACCAAACCTGCCGTCGATGGTGTTAATCGCTCACTTAATCTCTTGTTTTTGGAAGTGGGAGGTGGAAGTCAGCGATGAGTTTTTGAGAACTTACTTCGTAGAGATTTTGCAAGAGCTCTATAGAGAGAAGAAACTGTATTTTTTTAAAGGCGCAAATGAAACATCGGGAGATGGAGAGATTTTTTATTTTCGAAAATAAGTAAATGAACACATGAGAGAATAACCGCTGGAGGGAAAAGGTGGAAGAGTGGGACTGTTGGATTTCGTGCGCGTGTTTTTTAATTAAATGTAAACAGTGTCGTTTTGGAGCCGGGTGTATGATGCCCAACGTGCGTCGGTACCACGGTATAGCGACTGAGCCAACTGTGCCTCTTAATATATTGCAAGTACTGCCACAATTAGTATTTGTGAAAATTGATAGTGGAAGCCAAAACATGTCTAAATAGTGTCGACCAAATCATGTCTAAAAAAAACTGTTTGATTACTATATAACTTGTAAAAGAGCTTTTGAAAATGACATCAGACTAAATCCCACCCTAAAGTCCTAAACTTCCAAAAGAAATAGTTAAACTTCTCAAAGGCTAAAGATGTCATGTTATAATGCATTACAACCTTTTTGATTGAATTGGTCCGTAGTTTTAGACTTTTGACCTCAACTTGGATGCTTGATGGAAGATAAAGACCCCATTAATGTAAAAAGATTGTTTGGTCATCAAGGACTCAAATAACATATTATTCCATAAAAGATTAAATAACAAGACTCCTTATTACTGCAATTACATTTGCCATTTATTTTCATAAGAATAGTTAAATGACACTTACTAAAAAAACTGTATTATGAAAGATTGCCGCACTTTTTCTTTATTTGTGTACTCATGAATCACACTGATTGATTATGTTCGAAACGTTTTGAATATGCGGAAGGTAGAAAGGAGAAAGCTTATGGAGGTTGGCTGAGGGCTGGTTTTAAAAAAGGAAATGGCAGTTCTGGAAGTAGGTGGCTGGTTAATGAAGTTGGGCAATTTATTCATGGAGGCCCTATTAACAAGTTACAAACTATAAGCAGCAACGTGAGGGAGAAGGAGGAAGCTATGGAAGGTGTGGAGCTCACAGAGGGTGGTACGGCTAAGAAAAGAAAAGCTACCAGAGGTGCGGGGTCAAGTTCAGCTTCCACCTCACATGAGAGGCTCCCTGATTCACAAAATTTGGAGGTAATTTTGCCAAAAAACGGAGTAGCGGCGGGTTCTGGATTCCAGACCCGCCGGGAACCATGAGTTGCTTTAGTTGGAACTGTCGGGGCTTGGCAACCCCGCGACAGTTCAAGCATTAGTGGATGTTGTCCTCGTGAAGCGGCCGTCGGTTTTTCTTGTGGAGACTTTTTCTAATATTGGCAAAACGGAGTGTATTATGAGAAAGGTGGGTATGACACACTGTTTTGTTGTTTATAATGTTGGTCATAGTGGGGGTCTTTCTTTACTATGGGGTGAAGGAATTCATGTTCATGTACTGTGATCATCTTCCCATTTTATTGATGCCCGTATTTGCTTAGAGGAAGGGGCTCCTAATTAGAGGTTTACCGGGGTTTATGGATTCCCAGATAGAAATAGGCGCAGAGATTCCTGAGAGCTTCTTAAGAAGTTAAGCTTGGAGGAGGATCTTCCATGGCTTGTCATGGAGGATTTTAATGATTTAATGTTTGAGTCTGAGAAGCAGGGAAGGGTGCCTCATCCGCCTTGGCTTGCTAGAGGATTCCGAAAAATGGTGTGGGAGTGTGGGTTACAGAACTTTGCTTTCCAAGGGTACCAGCTCACTTGGGAAAGGGGACGCGGTTCACATTATTGGGTGGAAGAGAAACTAGACAGAATCTTGGTCTCGTAGAATTGGCTTGGTCTCGTAGAATTGGCTTGATATGTTTGGGGAAGTTGTGGCAGAGTCTTTGGAAGGCTCTCCGAGTGATCACCTGGCTCTTATGATAAAAATTATTCCTTCTCAGAATTTTCACTGAAGACGAAAATTTAAAATTTAAATTCGAGAATGTTTGGCTTCGAGAAGCAGACTGTCGAGAAATTGTGGCTAGAAGTTGGGGCATTGGCAGAAGTCTGGGTGTGATGGGTCAGATCTCAGCATGTTGTAGAGCTGTTGGAGCCTGGGGCTACGGTAAGGTGGGTTCTTTTGGCAGACGGATTAGTTTTTGCAAGCGCAAGTTGGAGTATCTATGCAAATTCCGGGATGGCTGGAGTTTGGGCGAATTTCAGCGGGTCAAGCAAAATTATATGGAGCTGCTGGAAAAAGAAAATATTTATTACAGGCAGCGTGCTAAAGAATTTTGGCTGATTGGAGGGACCTTAATACTTGGTATTTTCACAATTCTGTTAAAAGCAGACGGAGGAAAAATAAAATTGAGGGTTTTCGTCTTGGGGGCGGGCAGCGGGGATTTTGTTTTTTAATAGGGTCAGGCGCAAATTGGGAGCTTTACATAATCGGGATCTTCGTCGCCCGACTCGTGGGGAAGAAGTGAAGGAGGCCCTTTTCTCTATGTATCCAGATAAGTCTTCGGGGCCGGATGGGTTGGGCCCAGGATTTTATCAACATTACTGAGATGTGGTGGGTTCGGATATTATTGAATTTTGCAAGAAGACTTTTGACTCAGGTAAGTTACCGAGCGGTATTAATCATACTAATATTGTGCTGATTCCTAAAAAGGATAAACCTGAGTCTCTTGGTGATTGGAAACCCATAGCGCTTTGCAATGTGGCTTACAAAATTTTTTCTAAGCTCTTGGCCAATAGATTGAAAAGGTTGCTTCATATTTGTATATCTGAGTAGCAGAGTGCTTTTATTCCTGGTCGTCATATTATTGATAATATTATGCTGGCTTTCGAGTCTCAACATTGGCTGAAGAGGAAGCGACAAGGAAAGTTAGGGATGGTGGCCTTAAAATTAGACATGAGTAAGGCCTACGATAGGGTAAAATGGTCTTTCTTGGAGGGTATGATGAAACACTTGGGGTTTGATGATAGGTGGGTAAGGTTGATTATGGAGTGTGTCACCTCGGTGTCTTACTCAATTCCCTTTGATGACTCAGAGATAGATCTTCCATTACCGGAGAGGGCATTGAGGTAGGGAGATCCTTTATCTCCGTATTTATTTTTAATTGTTGCTGAAGGTCTTAGTGCCTTGTTATGCAGCTATGAGAGTATGGGCTGTTTGCATGGGGTTTCGGTTGCTCGAGGAGCCCCGATGGTTTCTCACTTATTTTTTTTGCAGATGATAGTCTTCTATTTTTCAGAGCTAATCATAGTGAAGCCGCCCTGATTAAAGATATTCTTGCTAATTACGAAGGAGCGTCTGGGCGGGTAATAAACTATCATAAATCAAAAGTCTTTTTAGCTCCAATGTGCTAGCCGAACATAGGGACGGCTTGATAGAGCTTCCGGGGGTTGGTATGGACGGGGGTGATGAAACTTATTTGGGGTTACCGACGCTGGTGGGGCGAGGTAAAAAAGCAATTTTGAGTTATCTTCGGCAAAGGGTGGTGGGATTACTAGTTGGAATAACAAATTTTTATCCAAAGCTGGCAGAGAGGTCCTTTTAAAATCAGTTATTCAGGCTATGCCTACTTAAGCGATGAACGTTTTGTTGCTTCCCAATGAATTGTGCCAGGAAATTGAAATTTTAATGAATGGTTTTTGGTGGAAGGGCAAAGTTGGGAAGCGAATACGTTGGAGAGATTGGAACGCACTCTGTAAACCTAAGAGGGCGGGTGGTTTGGGTTTTAAGCGACTGCGGGAATTTAACCTTTCTATGTTGTCTAAACAGGCTTGGAGGATTTTTACCTGCCCAGATTCCTTGGTGGGGAAAGTTTTTAAAGCTCAATACTTTCCTAGAGGGAATTTTTTAAATGCTTCTATTGGCCATAATCCTTCATTTATTTGGCGAAGTATTTTCCAGACCCAGGATATTATTCGGAATGGATTTTATTGGCGAGTTGGAGATGGCAAATCCATTAATATTTGGAAGGATCTGTGGTTACCTGGACCGTCTAACCCCATGGTTATGTCGGCTGAAGTTAGTGGATTAGAGGAGGCTTCGGTGGCTAACTTATTTACCGTCACAGGCCGGGAATGGGATGAGGACGTTCTGGCGGACCTATTTAATGACAGGGATATCTCTCTTATTAGAAGTATTCCAATTAGCTTAAGGGAGATTCCGAACAAACTTTGTTGGAGGTGGGAGAGATGGTCTTTTTTCTGTCAGTAGCTATTATAGAGCGTTGGTAGGTGATATTTCTCCGCAGGGCTGGCTAGGCTGGACTGTCATGTGGGATTGGCAGCTTCCTCCTAAAATAAAAAACTTTTTCTGGCAGCTTTTTACAGGTTGCTTGCCAACCAAGGGCAATCTTCAATCAAGAAGAGTGGTTTGTCTTGGGGAGTGTGGATTGTGTGGAAATGCAGACGATCCCTTAGCCATCTTTTCATCTCCTGTGAAATTGCTACAGCGGCGTGGAGAGCTTTAGATTGGAAAAGAGTGGAGTGTGGAGCCAACTTTTTTTAGCAGCTTGAAGGGGAGTTCCGATAAAAAAGAAAAGAGGTGTTGGAAAAATTAATTTGGGGTTGCTGGGCAATCTGGTGTGAAAGAAACCAGCGTGTTTGGCAGGGGAACTCTCAATCGGCAGCAAGTTTTATGCGCAAAGCAGCGACAATGGTGGGAGGGTGGATCCAAGCTCAAACTGACTGGAAGTCGAAGCTACTGGGGCGGAAGCAACCCGTGGCTTGCTGGAGTAGACTGATTTCGGGGCGGCTAAAGTTAAATGTTGATGCCGCCGTGCGAGATTCGGGTTGTGGTCTGGGATGGTGCTTGAGAGATGACAGGGGGCTTTTTGTTGCAAGAGCAGCTCGGCCATGGATGGGAATGCTCTCACATTTGATGGCGGAATTGGTCGGCATAAGTTGGCTGCAGGGCTTCGAGTGGAAGGAGATCGATGTGGAGTCCGATGCTTCTGGTGCAATTTCAGAAATCTTGAAGGTTTCAAGCGCCTCTTCTTTAGGGGTGGTGGCAGATGATATAAGAAATCTTGCAACACATTTTTCCAGTATTTCTTTTTTTCATGTTAAGCGTTCAGCGAATAAGTCAGCCCACACTCTTGCTTAAGTTGCTTGTTCTTTGTCTGAATTGCACGCTTGGTTTTCTAATCCGACGGATTTTTTATCTTGTATTATCGATAATGATCTTATTAATATGAATTAAGTTTTTCTCTTGCAAAAAAACTATTTTATTCACTAATCACTACTTGTAAGTTGTAATCCTTGAATCTCACATAATAACCTAAAAAACAAATAAAAAGTACACTTTTCACAGCATACACAAATGATGGAATAATTGAAGTGAAAGGCAAAAGCAAACAGATTAGAAACTACATGATATGCATCAAGAAAGAAAAACTCCAGTGTGTTTCAAACTAAGATAATGTTTGTGTTTGCTTGCGCTTTTTAAAAGTGATTTTTAAGAGATTATTGGAAAAGTGATTTATAATAAAAGTTGGTAGTGTTTGTAAAAAAAAGTGATTTTAGTAAAAAGGTAAAAGTTGAAGTGTTTGATAAAAAAAAGTGATTTGTGATATAATATTTTGATAATGACAAAAGCACCCTTTAAATATTGTATAGGGGGAAAACTGTCAAATAGGTCCTCGAACTTTCATAAAAAAGTCAATTAAGTCCTTCTATAGGAGACTCTGTACGGTCGTCGCAATTTGGGGCGGTTCCCGGTGGAATTTTTTGATGAAATTTTTTGAGCATCTTATTCATCAAGTCTAGTTTACTTATACCAAATTTCATCTAAAAATTTAATCGGGAGCGCATTCAAATTAATTTGAGAACGCAAAAATGCGCAGTTATCTTCAAGAATTAATTTTAATGTGTTCCCGATTGAAGTTTTAGCTGAAATTTGGTATGAGCAAACTAGACTTGGTGAATAAGATGCTCAAAAAATTTCACCAAAAAATTCCACCGGGAACTGCCCCAAATCGCGGCGTCTGGACAAAACATCCTATAGAAGGACTTAATTGACCTTTTTATGAAAGTTCGAGGACCTATTTGACAGTTTTCCCTTGTATAGGGGATAGCAAATTCCGATCTAGAGCCAACCCAATCCATTGTAGTCCACACTGCCTCCTCTTTCTCTCATATTTGACAACCATGAAGCTGCTCACTCGAAGCAATAATATGCAGCAAATCAGGCATGGGAGAAAGGATGATGTTCTTGAATATACATATATATCCTATATAAATTATGAAATGGATTGGGAACGAAACTGGGGAACTAAAATTGATGAATGCTTTGTGGAACGAAAGACATATGGGGCAGCCGGGCAGAGGGATTTGCCTTCAACAACATGATAAATGTTCTTCGAGTCCTGGTGCTTTATGGCCATGGCGGTGGGCGAGGGAACCATCGAAAAAGGACGGAGCAATAAGAGATGGCAGTTTGGAAATAAGCTAATACCCACTAGAATATTATTACCCTTGATGAATTAATTACAAAAAGGTAGATTCTATGGTACTCATAAGGTACCATACCTTTGTCCACATGGACCAATGAGAATGTAGCAGTTGAATTATTTAAATCTAAATTAAAAATGATAAAGTGATGTGGTCCAATCAAATGAACAGTAGGTACGGTACCCCGTTTTTTAAAAAGGTACCGGAGTTGTCACCCTATCACCTTACAAAAAAACCACAAAAGCAGATAAAAGCACCCCATCCCTAGCTTTTGGCTTCAAACTGCTTAAATTAAGCAGAATTTTTCATTTGCAAACACAATTTTTAGCTTCTCCAATCCCAAAAGCTCAAAAGTGCTTAAATTAAGCAATAACAAACATAGCCTAAAGAGTGCATTGTGCCATTAGTATGTATTTAAACCATAGCCCAATAAGAGAAGAAAATACTAAATAACAAAAGTCGCTTATTTTAAGTGAACTTTCCAATTGTGCATATAGTATTAAGGCAAGAAGTCGAAAAATATGCATTTTTATCTCTTTCCATCGTTGTGCGTATAGTTTTAAGGCCAAGAGGCCAGAGAGCGAGAAAGAGATAATTAGAAGGGAAAGCTGCACTTTTTCTTAGGCAATTATTATAGGGGAAACTGTCAAATAAATCCATGTACTTTTGTGAAAAAGTCAATCAAGTCCTTATACTTCATAGGTCACCAGCAGGTACACCCGGTTACATGTCTACGTGGATGTCCAGGTGGCCTTTATTTTACTGTTTTTTGTTTTATTCTTTCTTCTTTTTCTACTGTTCACTTTCTTTCATTTATTCTCTTTCTTTCTCCCAAATTGCCCGTCGACTTTTCTCCCTGCTTGGTCATGGCGGCCAAATTGAAGTAGATTCTCACAAAGCCTCTCCCGACGGCGACTTGGCAGAAAAGCTGCAGACGAGGCGTGAGTGTGCAGAACTGAAGTCTGGGACGGCGATGCTTGCTGCGCTTCTCCGGCAAGCAAAACCGCCGGTGCGGCGGACCATCGACGGCACCAGACAGGTTCTTGATGAGGCTGTAATACACTAATACTAGTCTTCAAGTGTCTCGCTCACGATTTCATTAAGGGCATCTTCAGTTCTTCACCACCGCCTCCTTTCGCAAGAACACGCCGGAGAACACCTTGTCCTCCCTCTGTCACCTCTAACAAGCCCATCCTCCAGGGCTCCACCCCATATCATGAGAGAATGCTAGTCTCCATACTGGGTCTCCCGATGACAATGGAAGGCCAGTGTAGGGTGGATATTATAAAAAAGAAAGAGAAAAAGAAGAAAGAAACAAAGAAGAATGAAAGAAGATGCAGACTTGCAGGGAGAGGAGATGTGGACTCGCACGACTGCTGGAGAAAGAAGAAAGAGAATGAAATGATTTTTTTTGGAATAAAAGAAAAGAAATGATTGGAAAACGAGAAAAGGAAAAAAGAAAAGAAATTTAGAAAAGAAAACAAAAAAATAGAAAAGGGCTAGTTGGACAGCCAGGTACGCGAGAAACCGGGTTACCGGCTAGTTACCGGCCAAATAGCATATTTGGTTAATTTTTAACACTTCATGTAGTTAATTGACTCATTTTGAAGTACAAGGACTCAATTGACTTTTATTATTAATAAAAGTACAAGAATTTATTTGACAGTTGTTGAGATTTATTCCCGAAGATCCGAAAGCCCAACACAAGCTCTAGATATTGTGGGGATGTTAACTTGGTTTGGAAAGTGTATAAAATATAAAATAGTAAGATATTGTTCAACTCAGGAGCCCACTTGTATTCAGTAATTCTGTGATTACACTGAAATTACCTGAACGGTAAATAAGTACAATAATACAAGAATAAGAGAAGTGTTTCTAGTTGCTAAGCTCTGAGTATTAAAATGCTAACCCTTTACAATGTATTCAATGCAGGTATTTATACTAAAATGGGGATGGGAAAGCTGGACACGTGGCTGAATCTGGTAGGCTATGCCCCCTGCCACGTATGCACTCATACCTCCACTTGCTGTCGCCATACTTCAGCATTAAATGCGACCTCCACTTGCTGACTATCCGTTCAGGTAGGGTGTTCGATATTGGGATATCCCGTCATTGTTGTCCTGAGAGCCAATATCTCGAACGCCGCTCGGTGTGCGGCACCCCGTCAAGAATGCGGGTGTAGTTAGTCCCCGAAATGTTCCAAGTGTAAGTAATGTGCCGAACGGGTCTGGACTGCCTTGGGCCTTCTGTTTCCTCCTGGTTTCCTCATACTTTGGGCCGGGGATATTGGGCATGGACCCAATATCCCAACAACAGTTTTCCCATTATTGTATTTTGAGATGTTATGGCAAGAAGAAACTAATTCAAGAAGAGAAAGATTTAGGATCACAACTGATGGACAATATAATACAATTTTAGACTTGGAACTTGGAAGATGAACCTTAACACATAAACATACCATTTAAATCAACTGATAAGCATACCATTTAAATGGCTAAAGGGTCAAATTGACCCTTGAACTGACTTAAAGTGTTCAATTAGCCCCTTATATAGGAGGTTCTGCCCAGCCGTCGCTATTTGGGGCGGTTCCCGGTGGAATTTATTGATGAATTTTTTTGAGAATCTTCTTCATTAAGTCTAGTTTACCCATACCAAATTTCAGCTAAAAATTCAACCGGGATGGCAGTCAAATGATTTTCCGAAATGTACTGCGCTATTTAACTTCGCAGTTATCTTCAAAAAATCATTTGACTGCCTTCTCGGTTGAATTTTTAGCTGAAATTTGGTATGAGTAAACTAGACTTAATGAAGAAAATTCTCAAAAAAATTCATTAAAAAATTCCACCGGGAACCGCCCCAATTGGTGACGGCCGGGCAAAACCTCCTATATAAGGGGCTAATTGAACACCTTAAGTCAGTTCAAGGGCCTATTTGACCCTTTAGCCCCATTTAAATCTATTGACTTACCCGATGTATATTATAAACTGTCCTGGAGCAGGAAGTATTAACCTGCTCTCATGCGTGTACACATTACTCTTAGGATAAACGCGTTGAGAAAGGCTCTGGCTTCTCACTAAAAAGTTCACGCACCCCTGGGACGGAACTTCTTAGGTCGCGAATCTCGCAAGCTCTCATCCCATCGATTTTAATCGGTTCTCTCCCAATTTTCTTTCTGTTTCTTGCTCGCAATTCATCTCTCCGTCTTAATCAACGACTATTTTGGAAAGAAACCGGAGATTGCAGCAGAAACAAAGGATTTTTCGAAATAAAGACTCACAGATTTCACTGTTCATCAGAAATCGATTTTGGTCAGATTCTCAAAAATTTGACGATTGTTGCTGGATTTTAAGGATCGATTGGGGGTCGCCATCCCTTGGTGCACCTCCCAATACCTAAATCGATCCCTAATTCACTCTGAGGTTTAAGATTGGATAGATCCGTTGCTGCAGAACACTGTTTATCGCAGAAGAGGTATTCTCCAGATTTCTTGGTTCTCTCGCGATTAATCAAGAATCCAAGCATCATTTGGAACTCGATTCACCTAGGCGGTCATCTTGGTATCACTTTGCTGACTTGCGGGGCTGATTTCCAAAACGAGGTTACTGCTCACCATCGCCTAAGCAGATTTGGGGATTTACTAGCCTCGGCTGAATACAATCGGAATTCCTTATTTCTCTTTGGGCTCACCTGTCTGACAAAAGCTAAGTATACTGTTCTAAGGTTCCATTTCTTTGGAACTGATTATCGGTGTGCTTCTGGTTGTTTGTT